CCATGTGATTCTATCATCCCCAAAGCCAAAGCGCGCCTCGAAAAGAGCCTCTGTGGTAAACCCCACGCGAGAGAATCTGAAGCCACAGTTTAACGTCTCGTTGAATTCGCGTGACAAAGGCATCATGCTCGCGTATCTCTCTGTCTGAACAGTGTTTCAATCCTTCATAACATTTACCATTCAACGGGCCAGTTACTAAAACATCACGGTTGACACCAGCCGATCGAACCAATAAAGGTAGCCCTCCCACTGTTGTCAATGTCAAACGCATTCCAACCCTTAGCACGCCTTGCGACTACCGGTCAGCGGCTTATGTGGCAGCCTTTAACATTGCGCACGCACAAAACATATGCCACAAAAACAATAAATATTCACGCGAACAAGTTTCAGGAAGATGTCTTTCCTCGTTCCGAGCTCCACGGTGGCGCAGTTGGGAAATGTTTGTGCCAGCGTTAGTGATAGGTCTTTGGTCAAGCTTTCGGCAGGCTAGCACCTGTCGTGTACAGTGCACGGTGCATGTGGTCGGCTCTAAACATGGGTGATCTCCTCTATACCACGCTGTACAAAGACAGTCAGGGATCACAGGCGTCGACTTCTTCAGATGTTGAGCCGTTCTCTTCGCTCACCCAGGTGTTGTTCATACTGACGTCCCACTTACCTGTTGGATATGAATCGCCGCTTGACGTGGCTATCACCGACTCCCCGAGCAAGACAAAACACACAGATGTCAACTGTCAACGGATGTCAAGGGATGTCACGTCACGATGTCACGGGTGCCAACAGGCAACTGAATCGTTGGGAGCATGCATCCAGCCGATGCGACCGCCGCAGACACATAATGACACAAAGGGATAGCGAAGTTCAGGTTAAATATCACCGCGCAATTCTAAGCATCGTTAGTGGGCAAGGACCATCGCCATCAAAGCTTCCAGATGAGCTTAAATACCAGTCCAACTACTTCGTCGCTGCCACCAGGAGGAAGACCTTGATCAGCTTATTGGCCGCAACTCCGGTAGTTACGCGGGATTTCCGTATGAGGCGGGTGTGTGACGATTCACTGCCTACGGCATGTCACTAAACATAAAGTAAACTGCGCTATGGTATCACCGTACACCAGTTGTGCCTGCTGTCGGGAAAGAGTGACGCTCATATTGTTAAGGTCTGCCTATCCGCCCTTATGCCATCACATTATCAACAGTAGTTTTCCTCTCTGATGTTGCCATGGAAGTGGGTCAAATTACCAGTGGAGCCGATTGTTAAATCTGACAGTCTGATCTGATTTTCTCTTAAGAAACCGTCGAACCAATCTCGCTTATTCCCATCGAACCTATGCGATGATGTGCGAGCACCTTACGTTGCGTTTTACATCGCACTGTCTGATATCTTGAGCCAGCACAGGGTTTGTAAAACTCTTTCAAATAATAAGTCATTCGTGAGCATTTCAGATAGCATATTCATATCATGAATGTTGACGGGTAAAGCTTATCGACCAGTTAACGTATCAAAGGCATTTGACAGTGTCTGTCACTGCCTGCTGTTTTGTGCGTTTGTTTTTGTTTGTATTCCACCGCGTGTTACAACCCTGACAATTCGGCTCCTCTCGAGGACATTTGCAATACACTTGCATACTTTGGACAATGCATACGGTTAAAGCTTGAGTAGCGAGGTTGCCCCCCATACATGCAATGCACACCAGGGTTCGTCCATACATTCCATTTTGTTTGGCTCATTCAAAGATGAATATACTTATAATAAGCACGCTGGTGCCGCACTGCTTACACGGTGCGCGAATAATCATCAAGGACATTGAAACAAGCTATTCGTAGAATCGAAACGAACTGGTAAGTCAACGCGGAAGCCATATTTACGGCGCAAGAGAATCACATGCAACCGGATGAATGAGAAACGGCAAAATCCCAGGTGACAGCTAGCTCTCTGAAACATATTCGCGCTTCAGAAGCCTTTCTATCCCCGAGGCAGCATCGTCCAGATTTTCTACTAATTACCGCTGTGACGTACGTACACTTATTTGCGTTTTATATTTTATGCGACTCTACAAAAGCGTACAAGGATTCTAGTGGTACTTTTACATAGTTTGTGCTTGCCGCCAAAGGACCGCATGTGCCAAACAGTACAATCGTTAGTGATGCTAAATGTGCTCTGCTGCACTGTTATATGTGCATCGGGCGCTGTACGGGTGCTGCGTTTGAAACGTTTTTTTAACCCACAGTTATGGCGAACCATAAAAGTGCGATTATCATCAGCACTGTCGGGGGGTAGCCAGGCTGGCTGCACGTACCTAAGCCAGTAACACCGAACATACGAAGTGCAATTACATGACCATTAAAAAGTCAGCTCAACTTGCGATTCTGTTATAATCAGCGTGGGCTAGACGTGACATTGGAACGAGGGGTGTTTTGTTTGCCACACCTTCAAAGCACAGCCTCTGAGGGTCATTTTTTCGTTTAGAGACACAACAGCTCGGAACAGAGTACTTTGAACTGCAGCGAGCTCGCAATACTTGTTCAGTGAATCGAGCGGTGAAAAGACTTTCTGTATGATATTCAAGCACATTTAGGGGAGGGTTTGAGGAACAGTTTCGTAAATGATGCATGGAAGTGTTTTATGTTCTGTTTTACACGAACTGAAGTGCGTATTTTGTGCGTGAAATCGTGTTACGTGACCTGTGCACTTTAAACAGGTTGTGAGAGCCACATACCGTGCTGAAACCCCGTGCTAGTGAATTCATAGATCAATGCACAACTAGCTTTCCACGCACACGTGCGGGAATAAATCATACGCACATTTCGAATTTCATTGGGCAGCGGAGAATTGCAGCTGCACCACTTCCGCTTCACAAAACTTATGTGTTTTTAAGCAGCTGATGCAAAGTGTTGTGCTCATGTGTCCATTCTGTGGGTACGCACATGAGCTCTACAGAACGTAGCAAATGTAGGCGTATATATAGATAAGTAGATCTCGCTCTTTCTCCCTTTCTCTCTCTCTCTCTCTCTCTCTTTCTCTCTCTCTCTCTCTCTCTCTCTCTCTCTCTCTCTCTCTCTCTCTCTCTCTCTCTCTCTCTCTCTCTCTCTCTCTCTCTCTCTCTCTCTCTCTCTCTCTCTCTCTCTCTCTCTCTCTCTCTCTCTCTCTCTCTCTCTCTCTCTCTCTCTCTCTCTTCTCTCTCTCTTCTTCTCTCTCTCTCTTCTTTCTTTTTTTTTTCTCTTCTCTCTCTCTCTCCTTCTCTATTTTAATGATGGTTTACTGTAAGTGTTTATTGTGTTGGGGTTTTACCATATCATGCACAATTCTTTTAAACATGCGGCAACTGCCAGGACCGTTATCTGCACTGGCTGAGCATGGGCAAGGTGGAGACATGTCAATGTAGGCTGCTGTTGGGCTGGTATTTCCCCAGATTTGGCCAACTTCCCTCCCAAAGTTCGGGGGGGGGGGAGGGAGAGGGGCTGGAGCCCAAGTTAGGGGCTGAAGGCCCCCCAACTGAAAAGGAAACTTCACCTTATAGGGAGCTTTATCAGAGCAAAAGTTGGACATGGTGTCGCTCAAATAAAATCGTGCAAAACATATATGTTCTCCTACAAGAAGGTTGCTAAGACTGGGGAGAACTGTCCCCTCCTATCGTAAACATTTTCATCCACCGCGGTGCGGCGCTCGCACAACCGTTCGCGGTCGGTATGGTGCGGACGGCCGGAATGGTTGACGGGAGCTATCCTTTAATATGGCGCGGGCCCCGGCTGCATACGGTGCCAATGTTGAGCTGATTCGGAGACTTCTCGCTTGGTGACGGTGTTGGCTGTCGGCCGCGCTGGCTACGGAGGCCGAGGCGGCCGTCGAGCAGTGAAGGAGCCCCGAATCAGGTGTTCCACGTGCTGCAGCTGGGTGGTGCGCTTGCGCAATGAAAAAGTTCGTTTCATTCCGACGCCAGCCGTGGAGCTTGGCCATTCGGGAACTTCGTCCGACCCTCTTCTCGCCCTTTCCAGCTTCATCCCGCATCTTCGCAACACCGCGCTTGTCCGCGGCAGACTTCATGCGTCAGCCACGAGTTGGCCGGGAGGGCTGCTGGAGGAGAGGGGGGGGGGGGGGGGGGAGGACTCCGACCGAGTGCCAAGCACACACTCCGTAGAGGCGCCCCTCGCGGGCTAAAGCTCGGTGGTCCCCCCCCCCCGCCCCCCTCCAGAGGGGCATGTAGTTCTGTCCCAGCGTTATCCATTCTCCTTCATCCCACAGCCCTGAATGGATCATTTCTGGTCGAAATGGCTTTGCTATAAACAACCAGCACTCCGCACCGTGTCCTCTGTTGGGTGGGTTCTCTGGGACGGACCAAAAAGAATGGTACTCTGCGCTCATTAAAGGGATTTCTTCATGTGTTTATAAATGACTGCACTCAGAGACTTCACTTGCATAAATTTTGCGTTTGATGCTGGTTCATCGTTGAGGCGAGTTTCGAGGCGAGCGTCTATGTTTGGCACTGGATAGTATCGTGCGAAGATTGATAATCATTTGAATATGGCAATTCAAATATACGTGTGCGGTGAGCATATTTTTCCCTTCCTGGCGCGCCGTGTCAGGGCAGGTCTGCGGTGAACGCTAAACGAACTCTTCCAGGCCTGCACACACACACTGTGTCGCAGGGGGAGCAATCGTGCGTAAAACTGAACTATGATGCATTGATGTGGCCACGAAGTGCAATGTGGTATCCCACAGTGAGGACTGACGCGGGGCGCTGGCCAGCAACGCAAGGCCTCGACGCTTTCCGATGATAGAGAAACCTGTCCCCCTCCCCCCGGTGACTCCGCCCAGGACTCAACTGTGCATTGGGGGAAGAGGAAAATAACATAAAACAATACAAATTCGGCACCTGTGTTTAGCTGGCAGCGAAATAGGGGTGCCCGTTTTGTCGCTGCTGCGTTGTTTTAGTATCCGTTCTGTGGACGAAATTTCCTTTACATGTCCTACTAGTTTCTTTCGCAAGAGCAAGAATTAGCAAATTTTAGTGTTCCTGGCGTACGATGAAGTTGCTGAAATAGAAATATTTAAGTTCATTGCAAACTGTTCAACTATCTAAAAATAGAGAAATTATTACCCGTTTCAGCGTATTTTTAACATCTGGGTCATTGCTTATTTCGGTCACCTGTTACAGAATAGACGTAACAAAGATGCGCGCGGAAAATCGACTTTGCGTCTGCTCAATGCCGCGCGTATGCTAGTGCGGCTCGGAGACGGGGACGTGTGGTCGGCTGTTGGCGCGTTTGATTGGCACTGGTTTGAAGCAGGTGTGAATCTTACTGTACTGCCGCACTTGTTCAAATCATCTACGAACGCTTTGTCATTTTGTATTCTATTACAACGTGGCGATGGCTGACTCAGCTCCAGCAGACCAGTCCTCAAAGGCCGCCGTGGAGGTGAAGCAAGCCGAGAAGGAAAAATCACCGAAGTCGTCTCCTTCCAAGGCTGACACGTTAGTATTTTATTTACTTATTATTGTATGTTTTGGCTACTGGACAAGGATGCTCACGGTCCATTCTGGGAAAAATCCATACATGGCGCCAGATGCGTATATGAATGTCTGTTCTGAACCTGTTGCATATGCACACCTAGCTTAGGTGGGGCTCAAGTGTGCAGTTTTCAGTTTATTTTTTTCAATATTGATTTTGCCAAAGAGTATTTGTAGTCTTTTTGGCTGAGCTGGCCTTTGCAAAATAATGTTCCCTTGAAGCATTGTTTCCCCATGTGCCAAAATCTGTAGTATCTGCACTGAATTCCTAAATGTGTTGGCTTACAGTGTGCATGTGCTCAAATTGTTACTGTGTTACTGACACAGTGGAAATTTTAAGCATATTATTTATTTGTATTGTCTGAAGTGCACTGCCAAGATACTTCAGCATGCTGTCTTCATACCAGACTGCAAAAAATGTTTTGCAGAACATGTTTGGCATGGCATGGCATGGCATAGTGCCATTATGGCAAAAAATTAGTGCATGTGCATAATGATACAATTGTCTGTTGTAATGGCTGAGTGAGTGATGGCTCAGTTTTTTAGAGCACTCAGAATGCTTGCCTTCTGATCCACCCAACCCATGGTTGAGTGAGTTTAAGTCATTTTAGGCTTGGGTGCTTACTTTTTGTCCTGGATGGGTATGACCTGCAGGGGGGAGGGGTGGGGGGGGGGGAGTGCAGCAGGGTGCCAACAGGCTTGTTAAAAGTCAGATCAGATGACTGTCAGAGGGCTGCAGGGTGCAAACATTGTAGTATGTTAACCCTCCAAATTCTGCTGTTGACCTGGTTGACATGGAATTGTGTGAATTGATGCTGAGGGCAAGGCTCGTACAACAAGCACTGTTTAGTGTGCTTTGATCCAAGAAATTCATGCATATGAAAGGTTTCAATTAAATGTTGTAAAAAGTATTGAAGTGTGCAGAGTTCACTGCATAATCATGATCATTTTTAATGCACAGAGGCAATTTTTTTTTGGGAGGGAGGTATGACAATGCTGCTGGGAAAGTTCTAGAAACAAAATCTTGAACATTTTCATATGCAAATTACATAGAAATAAAGCAGAATTTGACTGAGTTGACAACACTCAAACACAAGGATTACTGAATTAATGTTGTGGTGGGACTTTGGTGCAGTGAATGGATTTTTCAGACTGTTGCTGATAAAATGTGTATATAGATGATGTGTGGATGTACATCAAGCAGCCACTTTAACAGAATGATGGTACAATTTTGATTACAGTGCACTTGCCCTGCAATGCAGCTCTTTGTACAGACAAACAGTACATGTGGCCAGGCCTTCAAATGACATTTCTGGTGCTCACCAGCTACTGACATTGTTTCTCTGAACCTAGCCCAGGTGTGTGTCTAACTCATTTTTTGCTAAAAATGTGATGTATTATGTAAGTGTTAATACACTTGTTTGTGAATTTATAATTGTTGCACTCTGATTTTATGGAAAATTGGCTTTTCATGTGCTGCAATCATTGGTAACCACATGCCATACTCCAAGCATGCTGATTTACGGCATGTATGGGCTGAATGATTGGTGTAGCTTTACTGCAATGCATTACATGTTTGGCATACCAGATATTTTTGGCTCTCAAACATTGCATGAGTGCTATCTCTAGGAGACTGATGTGGATTATATGGGACCATGTGGCACACTTGGGTGTTGTGTTGAGATTTGTCTGTTTGCTGGCACACAATAAGTTTTGTTGAGTTGTTTGGAGAGTACTTGATAGAGGCTGAGTAAAACCATGCAATACACCATGAAGCTGCTGCTGGCACATTCCTGGTAATGCTGGCCTCTGCCAACCTCTGTGATTCACACAGTTCCAGGAAAGTGTCATCATGTAAAAAAGTTGTAATAAAGGTATACAAGTTTTGTTGGTCTCTTTCCAGGAATGAAGCACTGCAGCACCTGGTTCAGGGCAAGCGCCACTTGCTGGTGCGTGACATCCACTCTGCAGTGAACTCGCTGCAGGAGGCCTGCAGGCTGCTGGCCGAACAGTACGGCGAGACAGCTGACCCCTGTGGCGAAGCTTACTTCGCCTACGGCAAGGCTCTGCTGGAGCTCTCGCGCATCGAGACAGGCGTGCTGGGCAACGCTCTGGAGGGAGGTATGGTGCCCGGCGACGGTCGTTGCCGGTTTCTCTGACGTGGACACATGGGGATCATTGATGCACTGCATGCTGGGGGTGTTCTTTGGCATGGACTTGTGAGGGTGATTGATGTACCGCATGCTGGGATGGTTTTGATGCATGTTGCTTCCAGCTGTTGCTGATGATTATGTTGTGTTTGGATCATCTGTGCATCAGTTGTCAACAGTTGGGTCTGTATGAAAATTAGATGAAGCTAGTTACAATCATCATCCAAAAAAAGCATGTTTCTTGTATTTGTTTGCATGCCCATGTATTCCATGCCGCATGTATACCTGAATACCTGGTGTTTGCATGCTGGCTGTTTCATGTTCTAGTGCCAGAGGGAGAGGATGCTGACACATCACAGACAGAGGCGCCAGATAAGCTGTCAGGTACATCATACAATGGCTTCAGAATGCTGCTAATGCAGGTCACAACATGTGATGCTTTTCCACCTGGTTTCCCGTCCCAGTGCTCACAACGGTCTTGGCATTGCTTTTGGTTTGTAGGGACATTTCAAAACAAAGCGGGTGGAGTGGCAAACAATACAGCAGACATTGTTTACAGAAGTTATTAGTGCATTTGCGGGGAACATTATTCACATGGATCAGATGGTAGTAATAGCCTCATTTCTCAGGAAAAAAGACAGGAGAATGGAGATACAGATGTGTTGATATTTGAACAATATGCCTTTGATGAAACAATAGCAGAAGTAGACTCAGCACACTTAGTATAATTAGACTTCTGCTATGGTTTTGATAAAGCGCCGAAATATCAACGTCTCGGTATCTCCATTCTCCTGGTTTTTCTCCGAGGAATGAAGCTATCGCTACTGTCTTAGATATGCTAGCATTTTGTATTTGTCCAAAGTATTAGAATTTGCTTGGCCTATGCTGTGAAAACACCTATTCAATCCATAGAAAATGACACATTTATAAATGGTGCATTTGGATTCAGGGGATGAGCAGCTCTGTAAATAATTGTGTTATCAAATGTAACATATTGTGGTTATGGCCCTGGAGGTTTTGCATGGAATGTCATTGACGCCACCCCAGCTATGAACAGGCATCAAAGAACTCTCCTGTTAAATCCTGAAGGATAAAAAACAACCTAACACTACACAAAGATTCCCTGGGCGCAAAATGACCGCAGTAGTCGACGCGCCCTAAAACTCCAATCAACAACAACAAAGATTCCCTGAACTATGCAAAGTAACTTGTGACCATATGCCAAGAAAGTGGTCCGAATAAAACACATAAAAGCAATTTGTCATTCAGTAAGCTCATAATTCAAAGAGCATGTATGTCATAGTACTAAAATTGGTACTTGCGTGCATAAAAAGGAGAAGAGAACTTAATGATGTTTTTGACTGGCACCGTGACATCATGAGACATCATGATTTCTGGCCAGATGTGTGGCCAATGGTGTCTAGACTGGGGTGTTCCCTCTTTTTGCACTGTTAACGTATTCTTTTGATTAGATATATCTGATCTGATCATAATTCGAGTTTTCTCGAAATCCATTGCAATAGCTCAAATGTTTGATTTGAAAAAGCCGCTTCGGCGGGAGAAATCATGGGATTCCCTACTCATGACTTTAGAGTAATGCTTTTCATTTTACTTGCTGATTCCAATGTATTCCGTAATGTTTGCAACATACTTAGTCATCAAAAGGCTCGTGCAATATATGTTACGAAAGTTTGGAACCCTTAAAAAGATAAGACCATTCTTACAAGGGAAAATACAAACGTGCTGCCCTTATCACGCCAACTCCACGAAACGTTATACTATCGGTTTGTTCCCTCCCCCATGGCGTTTAGCAGAGTGCCTTTTCGAAGCGCACTTTGGCTTGGAAAGCCGACAAACGGCACGTCAAAGAATGACGCACTAGGTCAAATCTCGCTCAATGCTCTTCCCGGTGAATGGCCTTCGCCTCCTGGTGCGCCATTCGCAGACGTTCATGTGGACTGACGTCATTCATGCCAGTAGAGGCGCCACTTTTAAGCCAGCAGTCATTCGATGTGCGAATTCAACAGCTCAGAGGTGGTACCACTGTCCGTGACAACTGAGGATCGCCCCCAGCAGGGTCGGCCATCGTCAGTTGCCGCGGATAGGGCTACACCCTAAGGCTACAAAGAAAAGAAGGAGCGTTGTGCTGTGACAAAAGTGTCAGAGCGGGATTTGGACTGAAAAGGCTATGCAGATCAATCTCTCCATTATATTGTGATGGTAGTACCCAGTGTTATTCCTAGATACAACTGATCCTGGGGCTCCACCAGAGCGTGTTTCTCGAAATATGCCCCAAAGGTAGGACACTTCCTTCAACAATTAAGCTCCACGCACTGTTCTTGTAGCCCTCTATGTCGAGGGAGGCTCCGTCTGTGTTCCCCACCATTGCCGCACCATTATACATTGCTGCGAGCGCTGTGTTGCTCCGTGCTGACAGCAGCATTCCGCACATCTGCTACATTCGCTTTCTCCCCGCCTGTCGCGCCGTCGCTTGGGATCAGCGCCCGTCGTGTGTGTTCGTTCGCGCCAGCTCGTGCCGTCTTACTTGCCGCCTCCCCCCCCCCCCCCTCCCCTCTCAACCGCCTCCAGAGGAGGAGAAACTGCAGGTTATGGAAGAGGTCGACGAGGCCCTTCAGGAGAATTTCCAGCTGCTGGAAAAGGCTAGCTCGCAGCAGCAGCAGCAGCTGCCAGCTGACGGGACTGGGGCTGGCCCGACTAGTAGCGCGACAGAGAAAAACAGCAAGCCTGCTGGGACAGAAGCTACTGAGCCGCCGCCCGTGGAGGACGTGGGCGCCATGGAGGTGGACGGGGCGTCGGCCGGCCCGACCGGTAGCGCGGCGGGCAGCGACAGCAAGCCTACCGGAACGGAAGCGACCGAGCAGCTGCTCGTGGGGGACGCGGGCGCCATGGAGGTGGACGGGGCGTCGGCCGGCCCGACCGGTAGCGCGGCGGGCAGCAGCAGCAAGCCTGCCGGGACGGAAGCGACCGAGCAGCCGCTCGTGGGGGACGCGGGCGCCATGGGGGTGGACGGGGCGTCGGCCGGCCCGACCGGTAGCGCGGCGGGCAGCAGCAACAAGCCTGCCGGAACGGAAGCGACCGAGCAGCCGCTCTTGGACGATGCAGGCGCCATGGAGGTGGACGGGGCGACGACCGGCCCGACGGCGGACGGCGCCGCACCACCGCCTGACTCTGGCTTCAACAGCGCTAGCCTCTCGCCCGTGAGCGGGCCCCCGGCGAGTGTGGAGAAGACGGGCGGCAGTGGGGACGCGGCTGAGCCGACGGCCGGCGGACCGCCCGCCGGTCCGGAGGAAACTGTCGGCAGCAGAGACGCGGCCGAGCTGGCTCCCAGCGCTGAGGAGGCCGCAGCTGAAGCAGGGTTGGCTGCGGAGGAGAAGGTGGCCGCACAGGACGGGAAGGCCTGTCTGAAGGACGGGGATGAAGACCAACCAGCGGCTGATACGACGGAGCCGCCCGCGCACCCGGCCAAAGAAGGGGAGCGCGACCAGGAGGTGGACGCCCATGGCGAGGGCCGATCGGCGGCCGCAGTTCCGGAGTCTGACGGCGGTAAGGACGAAGCTTCGGCATTGGAAGCCGACAGAAGACCTGTCCCGTCCGTGCCGGAGCGTGCCCCCTCTGCGTCTGAACCGATGTCGGACCTAAACGCCCCCCTCGCTGCGCCGGGCGCGGACTCTGTGCCCGCTGCCGCCGCGCCGGCGACGACAGAAGTGAAGCCAGTTGGTAAGACACGGCAAGCAAGAGAGCGCTTGCTGGGCCTCGTAACCATAGCTGGCCGTCAGTATGTAGTACTAGCTCGAGATCGCTCTGTTCTTACACAGTGTCGAGAACATAGCGAAGGCAGCCACCTGCCTAGGAAATGTAATAGGGCTAACAATCACTCGTTATCTGTAGACTTTTGGAGGTGATCGGACTAGTTAAAACTCCGAGAGACTCCCACTAACGCTCATTGACAGCAGCGTGTAACGCTTAGTACTTCTGTATTCGGATTTCGACCTTTTGCATCTTTGGTGAAAACTTCACCCACAGAAGGCTCCTGGGAGGAGTTTGACCCTTTCTTTGCACGCAAATTTCCGTTCGTATGAGCATGCTTGATGCCATTGGATAGCAGCCTGGGCACGACAAGCGCGTCTCCGGGTGTGCTGCAGTCAGCTTTTGTCGAGTCGGCGAACCTCGCTATCCATTTCCGCCTCCGTGGTTAGCCGTCAGTGTTCTTGCCGTTGTTTTCCGCAGCTAGGTAGCGCCAGGAAAGTGGCAACCGAACGGGGCGGGGTGTGCAGGGTAGGCATTGGTTTCGTGTTTACTGATATTTTTACTGATTCGTGTGCTTACTGATATTTCTTGTACCCACGACGCTGTGATCCCTCATCGTACTCTGTCTTCACTGCGAGCTATGCAGCAATACAATCACCAGGGCATCGTGCCCAGCCGGTTCGGTAAAGTTGGCCTTCGCTCGATGCTCACGCTCATTGTGCATTGTATGAGCAGTCGCTTCGGTACAAGCCTGGATGTAAAACGTGTTCAGCAACCCCAAATATTCGGACTTCCAATGCAGTGAGTCTTATTGAATAGGTTTAGAGAGTTTGATATAATTTCTTAGCGGAACATTGGGGATCAATCGGAGCATGGCCTATCCGTGAGCACGTACGGCGAGTGCAGGACTGTGCGAGTAAGGGACCCCGCATGCGGCCTGGCGCCGGTGTGGGCTACAGCGTGACATGGAAAAGCGGGACTTCCTTAGGTCGGCCTCACCACGACAGGTGTATACACTGCGGGGTGCGCACGTCTGAGCCAGCCAACTAACGAATGGCGATGGTCTTAGCTGTGACTAACAAGAGTAGTAGCAAGCTGTTTGGTCTTTTTCTGTGGAATGCCTAGGTGCCTTAGCGATCCAGGGCACGCATATGTGATTCGCAGATGCTGTGCACGTACCAAGGACCCTTCTACGGTCTTCAAGTCGTCTGATCAGTTCCTGAGCTTGCCAGTCATGTGGGCAGCTCTCTCATGCACCATGGTTTCAGTCTCCATGTTGCTGACGAACGCATGGAGCCTGTTATCCCATACGGCGTCAGTGTGCCTACAGACTCTGCCCCACTCAGTATCGTGATGGCGCGGCTGCTGTCGTTTCAGAATCGACAGAGGACGACGAGGACGGCGAGGGCAGCGAGGAGGACGACGCTGAGGAGCAGGCGGCTGCGGACAAGGGGGGTGACAGCGACACGGCGTCTGCCGAGGAAGCGGCCTCCGCCGAGGAAGCGGCCTCCGCCGAGGAAGACGCCGACGCCGGCCGCGCCGGTGACACATCGCAGGACTGCGACAGTGAGCACGCCGACGAGGCGCCTACCCCCCTGCCCACCAGCCTGCCGTCTGTGCACGGCATCCGGCCCCCCGCCCGCCTGCCTACCTTCTCTGAACGGCACCCGGCCCTCGGCCTCCTACTTTCCAGCCTGCCGTCTTTGCACGGCACAGGGTCCCCTGCCCGCCAGCCTGCCGTCTCTGCACCGCACCACCTGTCTGGGGTTGCTCTGCACCCCGGCTCTTTTCACGATAGTGGCGTTGTGTGAAGCCGTTCATGTTGCCGTTTCGTAAGTTTTGACTGTATCGTTCCTGTCGTTGGCTTCTTGAATGCCGTCATTGTTCTGCCTATCGGGTGATGTGTTTCAGCAACCCCAGACCCGCCATGCGACAAGTCGCTGACCTGTGTTTGGCATTAGCCTTTGCCTCACCTGCCGTCGCCGCTGTCGCCGCCCGCTGAGTGCTACGCCATTCGCTGGGCTGCCGCGGTGTGCGCCGCTGTTTGGCTCAGCCGGCCTAGTCGGCGCCCACACTAACGCTTGGACCTGCTCCGCAGCGGAGGAGGGTGACGGCGACGGCGACGGGGACGGCGACGGGGATGGGGCGAAGGAAGGGGACGACGGCGAGGACGAGGACGTGCCGAACATCCAGCTGGCCTGGGAGGTGCTGGAGCTGGCCAAGATCATCTTTGCCAGGCAAGGCTGCGCTCTGACCGAAGGAAACCGGGAGTCTGGCGGAGACTACAGCTCCTACCGTGTGACGGAGCAGACGCGCGGTAGCCAGACTGTGTCTGCACCAACCGTTTACTGGCATGCCGCTGGGCGGGCGCTGTCTCCTGTGCAGTGTCAGATCTATCATGAACGGCCGTGGGACTGGACCCATCTGGTTTGATCTGCTTTCCACCGGTGACGCTCCGGCCAGTTTCGCGCATGAACAATGTTGCCGTGATCGATGCCGTTCTGAAAACTCTGATTGCTATCGCTCCGGCCGGCGTGGCCCCGACCGCTCTGACCGGCGCTGCTCTGACTTCTGGCTGTCGCAGCTCTGACCGGCATTGCTCTGACCTCGGGCCGTCACCGGTCTGACCGGTGCGGTTCTAATCTTGGTATGTTACCGCTCTGATCGGCATTGCTCTGACCTCGGGCCGTCACCGCTCTGACCGGCGTGGCTCTAACCTTGGTCCGTCACCGCTCAGACGGGTACGTGTCCGACCTCGGACCGTCACCGCTCAGACTGGTACGTGTCTGACCTCGGACCGTCACCGCTGTAACCCCGAGCCGTTGCACCTCTGACGGGCGTGCGTTCCCGCCCTGCAGACAAGCGTCGGACCGGCCGTCCGACCTCAAGTTGTCCGAGGTGTACCAAAAGCTTGGTGAGGTCAGCATCGAGGCCGAGAACTACGCCCAGGCCGTGGACGACCTCAACAACTGTCTGGACATTCAGGTGCGAGGTCGCACGGCGCGCCCAGGCTGGTGGCTGTGTGGGGCTCGTAGTCGGCCGCACTGCGTGCACAGGGGAGGGAGGGGGAGCGCCTTTCGTGAGTCGGTGACACCCCGCAAGTGGTTTACCCAATATGTATGGCTACACGGTAACGACACAGTCGCGCTGCAGTGGGATGACCACCAGATGAGACCCCTTTAGAGGTCGGCTGAATAATGCTATGCAAGCACGTTTAGTGCTCAAGCCATCCAGAGCGTGAGAGTTTCAGCCTTTTTCGCAGATTCATTCCATGCTAAGCATTCGGAGTAGGCCGTGTCGGAATCTTAGCACAATGGGGTCACTTTCACTAAATTTGATATGAAAGTGTTACAATGTGTGGGTTTGATTAATGCCTTACCACGTTTTGAAAATGCAAGCATGGGTAAAGCTGCTCTAACCATATGCTCAGGCTTAATCTGTCCATTTCCGGCTGAGGGCCACGAGCCGCGGTGACTGGGCTCTACCAGCCGCTGACCATGCTGGCTCCTCTGTCCGCAGAAGAAGCACCTGCAGCCGGACGACCGGCTGATCGCCGAAACACACTACCATCTGGGCGTGGCGCACTCGCTGGCCAACCAGTACTCGGAGGCTATCGCCAGCTTGCAGGCGTCAGTCGACACCATCCTGGCGCGCGTACAGCGTCTCCAGGGGCAAATCGTCGACCGCGAGCAAGGTGAGGCGGCGGCACCGGGCTGGCGCTGGCGCGGCCGGATCAGCGGTCTGTCCTCCATGTCGCCAGCCCTGGCGCAGTTTCGCTTGGTTTTCAGTTCTCCTTAAAATTTCCTGTGGCCAGCAGTCCACATTAGCGGCTCTGCCGGCCAGGACGTAAGGTAGCAGTGCACCAGGCCTGGCGACTCCACAGCACAGGACTGGCATGAGTAAGTAAGGTAGGAGTGCACCAGACCTGACGACTCCACAGCACAGGACTGGCATGAGTAAGTAAGGTAGTGCACCAGACCTGGCGACTCCACAGCACAGGACTGGCATGAGTAAGTAAGGTAGGAGTGCACCGGACCTGGCGACTCCACAGCACATGACTGGCATTAGTAAGTAAGGTAGGAGTGCACCAGACCTGGCGACTCCATAGCACAGGACTGGCATGAGTAAGTAAGGTAGGGGTGCACCAGACCTGGCGACTCCACAGCACAGGGCTGGCATGAGCATGAAAGATCGAACCGCATCTCGTCCTGCCTCGTCCTTTCGGGGCATTAGTGGCATGAGTGTGGAAGATCAGACTGCGTCTTGTCTCGTCTTGTGTTACCCTGCGTATGGTATGATTTCAATACCACCCTATCGGTCTGCTTTTTAGGCAAAACAATCGAGCACGACGACCCCTTTTACAAAGAAGAGAATGAAATTAAGGAGCTCCAAGATCTGCTGCCCGATATCAAGGAGAAGATTAATGACATGCAAGAGATGAAGAGTGAAGCGCAAAAGAAAATCGCCGAGATGGTGAGTGGTGCAGTGCTCACACCCATCGTGCTTCTTTCGTCACCCTGCACGCCACCTGCCCACGTCAGGATATGTCTGGCATAGCGCGTGCCAAGCGGCCCATGGGTGTTTTTCATTGTTTGGCGCTTCCTTGCACCGCGTGTAGGTTACTGAGATCATGGTATCGTACGTCAATTTAACAGACATGTTGCCAGTAAGGCCGCAGACCTCAGGCAGGTACGGATCTCGAAGCGTTCGGACTCATTTGGGGATTAGCAGGCTTCCCGTTTGCGTGCCGGCCCTCTCCGAATGTCCCGTCTTCTAGAGGCTAACATCACTGATCGCAGATCCACGCGGTTTGCAGCAACGGGAAACGGGAGTCCGGGAAATTCCGCTGTATATTCTTAAACGGATTTGCTCGCATTCCAGTAGTACAGTGATATCTGCAACATTACCATATTAATAAAACTGATGATTCCCGTTTGGTGAACGTATAAAAAGTAACACGCTAATTGCGAAAATATTGCGTGTAAAAAACCCAAGGCCAACATCGTATAATTGCAGCGAGGACAGGTGGTGGTGTCCACAAAAGTGCAGCTTGGTGTTTGGAGCCGGTCACGTGCGCTGGTATGCAAACCTTGGATTGGCCGCGCGGGCACATTTGCAAGGACTGTGGTCCGACCCGGCAGCTGACGCGCCCGTGGGACCAGTGCGTGCTGTAGTCGGCTGCACCGCGAAATGGCCTCAGTAGCCGATGCGCTCACAAACACCCAAATGTTATCACGGCCGAATGCACGGTCGGCCTATGAATCAGTTAGTGGTATCGGTGCTCCGAACCACAGCGACAGCAGTGAGCGCCAGGACAGCGGGCACCCGTGTCAGAGCGCTCACGCCATTCTTATTAACCGGCCTCGCTCGCTCTAGCTCTGGTCTGGACCGGGAGAGATTTGACAGGCATTGCCGTTGCCAAATTTTGTAACCAGCCGAAGCGCAAAACACAAATTAGTAAGGGTTCTCAGAGGACGTGGGAAGAATGAGGGGACATCAAGCGCCAGGGTTATCACTTATCGAAAAAGTAAAATAATCGTGGTGGATGTTGACCAGAGTTATCTACTACACGCCCGACTAGTTTTCATCACGTGGTTTCTCCTGCGGTCGGTATATGGATCATATCGGTATCATAGGGACAGCGATGTATCACGTGGTTTAGTGACGCACAGCTTTCACCGATGCGCTACTCGCTAGATGCTTCTTGGCCCGTTGAACCAATCACAAAATGTGCATTTCTACTAACGTCAACGCACAAAGGGATGCATGTTTACCTCTTCAGTCATGGTGGCTGGGAGTACCACGCAACGTAAATGAACACACTGGCCACACTGGCCTACGATTTTCCCATCCTGGGTACACCAGCTTTACCTCGCCTTAACCCACTACCCATCAAACCATTATCACTATAGCACCATTAGCTTACTCTTGCCATCATGGCAAACCTAAAAATGGTTTGGTCCATTAAGTAATCATGCTTATTTTGATATTTTCTTTAGTTTGTTTTTCCACTACGCAATGTCAGTAAGGTTCATTGCACCAAACGTTGTGCTAGGGGACTATTATCAATGCAGTTGAGCCACATTTGTGAAGATGGAAAGTTGCCTAGTATGTTTACCAAGATGTTTACCATACGCCAGCAAATTTACTTGAGTAAGTTCCAAATTCTGTATTGCTTTTTACAACTTTTTTACTTATTGTTTAAGCTCCAGTTGTTTTTATGATGGCAAGGTATCATTTTCGTTTTTATTTTTCGAAATAACAAAGGTACAACAAAGGAAACTAAGTGTATAAAATACTCCCACGAGAGATGCAATTACTGCCTTTCCTAAAATATATCATAATTATCACAAAACAACATCTGCACCCCATGTTGAAAAGTTCGGTTAAATACATCATAGAATTCAAGCAGTCAGGTGATTTAGCAAACCAGTTTATTTGTGATGGTGGCAAGAATGCATCATGATGATTAATTCCTAAACTCATGTCATTTACGATCTTAGGTGTTCGTCATTTCAGCTATGCACCTCCAGTTTTCCACTTGCAGAGTTTGACAAAAACCGTGGTAGAAGCTGGTATTTAACATTATTGGTCCTAATGAGACTTGAAGGGAACAAACCACATTTTAATTTCTTCACTGTTTATATGCCATCAGTAGTTCATATTGATGAGCAATCACAACTTATGACCATTGTCTTCGAGCAGGTGTTTAACGCGAGCTACAGATGCAGTTCTACCATAACTGTTATGCAGGATCTTGGAAAAGCACGTAATCACATATTGGCAGGCTATTTTAACATCTTGAAAGCATTCCTTCGTAATTTTTTCCACGGTATATCAAGTCCAGTAATTGTCGAAATTGACTGAATTTCACAATGGTGAACGTCGTCTCGCGTGCGCGAGTGTCGGCCATGCACGGCATAATATGGGGTTACAGGAGAAGAAAGAATTGAAGTGCTGTTCTGAAATGTTGGCCGCATAATTTGGACTCGGAAATATAGCATTGGCCAATCCTTGGTCGCTGCTAGTGCTTCTAGTTATCGTCATCGGCTACTTCATCGTCATTGTCTAGACTGTTTAGTGATTTCTTAACGTTATTTTTGCGTAGGCCTTTCGTATATTGTCACTTCGTTTTCCGTGGTTGCCTATGTTTTACTGAAATTCTTGAAAATTACTGGAACGGATGGTTTTATTGTTCGCACCCAAACGCTGACCACGCCTGTGGCCGAATGTGCGCATCAACCCGCACTCGCTAGCACCGTTGGACGTTTCCACCTCCCCCTCCCCCCTTCCGCACCCGTCAGATGGTGTTGGTTGTGTCCGGCTCACGTTGCAGTAGTGCATGACAATCATGTATGATCAAAATAGCTTGTGGTCAAATTGCTTCAGCCTGACCGAGCACTTGTGCAATATTTTCTAGGTGGACTGCTAGAAACTGCATGAACTTACATGTGTTGCGACCACACACGTTCTGTGTTGCATAATACATTTTACTGGCTCGTACAGCAAGAAGTTGCCTGCGCTCCCTTTGGTGATGCATTGAATACAAGTTATTTATAAGGCCATGCTTGCAAACGGGTAGTTGATAAAAGCAAACTTCTAAGGACTGGTCTAGCGGTAGTGTGCAGCGCCGTCTGTTTTTGTACGCTGTGCGCCCGCCCCTGTGCCGCGCTGCAGTCGCTGCCCCCTACCCTCCGTCCGTGACTGGCAGTTCGCCGGCGGCGCCGGGCCGTCCACCTCGGCCGCCCCCATCTCACCGGTCAAGGTCATGATGACGTCACGGCAGGCCACGACGGCGGCCGAGGCCGACGGCGAGCAGAAGGAGGCACGCAGTATAGGACACCTGGTCAAACGCAAGGTCAGTGGGACGCGCCACGAGTGTACAACGCCACTGAGCTTGACACTCTGCTGTTGTCATCATGGGTCGCGGCTGTCATCTTTTTCGGATCACGAGACGTGGAAATGATCCGACTCTGGCTTGGCATCATGCAATGTCAACTGGAGCCGAGGAAATAGCCTCCCCTACTCGAACTATGGCGTTTCAGTGGTGGGTGGTGGGCTCGGCTCGGACTGAAGCTTTTGAATTAGGCCTGTGCATGGCTGGAACGTATCGTAATGACCTTGTGAACTGGCTGAAGAGGAAATGACGCGCGCGTCTGAAGTGTTTCGCCGCTTGGAACTAATTGACTTTCTCAGGATAAACGATGTTGTTCGTTGTTGTTACTCATGTACACATGGATAACGGAGCCTATTCGAACCTCCACGTGATCCCTTCGAGGTCGTGTGGCGGCTGTGGTAGGACAGTGAGTGATAGGGCTTCTGCCGCTAGTTGTCTGAAATGATCTACGGCCTATTTGAAGAATAGCTCTCATAATTGTCGTGCAATCATTTTCATTGTTGAACTTTTGTGTTCTGAATCAAATCCCGACGAGCCAGTTTGTAGTCCCGTGCCTGTAAGACTTGTTCCGCTCGTGCGGAGTGCGACTCCCGGCATCTGGTGGCCGTCATAACCGGCCGGCGCCTCCGCAGCGGCTGTCCGGAGAGTCTGCCGAGGAGGAGGCCAAGCGCGCCCGGCAGAACGGCCACGGCGGCGCCAACGGCCACCTCGGCGGCGACCAGGGCTCCTGAGCGGTGCGCCGCCGCGCCGCCCCCGGACATTCCCCGGCGGAGGGCGCCGCTGCCTGTGAGGGCGCCGCTGCCGCTGCCATCTGAGGGCAGCCGACGCTCGCGCCGCCGGCAGCCGTCAGTCATTTTATCACGCCGTTTACCCTGCCGTTTGTTCATTTTGGTGTAAATAAACTTTGTATTAAGACGAGATAAGGTTTTTTATGCACACGAGGTGTACCGGCCTGAGTCCGATTGCTGAGGTTGGGCGACGTCTCTTCACCAGCTTGGAAACATGGCCGAGCGACGTGGCAAGCTGTAATTGCATCGTTCTGTCACATGCTTCATTGTCTAAAGGAAATATCGGCGTGAAAGTGGCCGTTGACGTCGCGTGCCACCGTGCACAAAAACAAAACCATAGTTCGCATACTGCCACTGCCACTGCCTGTCTGCTGCCGTGAAAACGAAGCCGCCGCTGCTGTCTGCAGACCGCTCCCGCCTGAGGGCTCCCGGACACAGTAATACATACAACTCCTTCATACCTTAGCAGTCACTTTTGCAGGACGGAAAAAGTCGGAAGTGAGGCAGTAATTGCGCCATGCAGCCATCCTAGTCAACTCTTCTCATTGTGCACTGGAACATTGTCGTCAATCTATTTCACTTGGGTTAGGTTGGGCCAGCGACGGGTCATTAGTTAATGCTTGGGAGCTCGGAATGCTGTAGTTTGCGAGGACGGAGGGGCTCCACCACTCAAACAGGGAACACGGTGCGTTTCCGTCAATGAAGTATTGATGCAAAGTATAAAAACTTCCAAGTTCAAAACTGAATCCGTACGCTCGCGACTGGCCACGCAGACAGCCGTTCCAGACAACAGCATTCTTTGCATTGCATGGAGGTATGTATTTCCGCTGAGAGGGCCACATCCCACAGCTGAGCATCATTGATACACCCAGACACGAGCGCGGCACCCGGACCCCGTGGCGCAAGGACCCAGACCCCGCCGCGCACGTGGCCTTAATCAGCTGGGACTGACGATCGCCCGCCGTCGTCGCACCCATGCGGCTAATAGTAATACTAGCATTGTCAAAGAACGGCCCGTCGGGCGAGCCAACCTATATGCACGCCACCCATCCATTGAAAGAGCCGCCGGCTATGTCCCCGAGAACACGTACTGTCATCCATATTCGACTGTATGGTTTGTCATTGTCAATGAGATCCGAATCCATGGGCTGTTTTGCTTACCTCAATTCTGCGACACGAAACAACAAGTCTACACCCGGAAGATTACGCACTGCATGCGATTACAGTCCAACACAGTCGGTCGCATGCACGGAAAGGCCTCCATGTCCAACCCTATTGTGGACACGGAGACTCCGGCAACCTAGGACCGGTGTCTCGCACACTCGTGAATACGCCCACAACATACCCAGTCTCAGCGCAGGACCTCCCAGTGACCCGAGCGTCCAGCCTTGCACCCCAGAGATCCACAAGCCGTGCGATTGCCGGTCCGCCAGAGCCGGCTTCACCCGTGAGCTCCCGAGACATGGACGTGGCCGCCTCGGCCGTGGACGTGGCCGCCTCAGCCGTGGACGTGGCCACCTCGGCCGTGGACGTGGCCGCCTCGGCCGTGGACGTGGCCGCCTCAGGCGCGGGCAGCGGGCGGGTCAGCAGGAGCGGCCACGACCCTTTGTACGCGGTGACAGGGCCGGCCGGGCGGCCGGCCTCAGTCGATCTCCTCTGCGTCGGTGGAGCGCGGCGTCGCCACGTACGGCACGCGGCGCCGGTAGAACAGCAGGTAGGCCTCCTGGGTGACGACGCGCTCTTCGGTGACCCGGCTGACGCGGCTGTCGTCGAACAGGCGCCAGTCTGTTGGCGCGGGAGCGGAACACGTCACACGGCTGCGGCCACCTCCTGCCCTGGTCCACCCCTCGCACCAGGTCAGGTTGCGGCACGCCAGTCGCTGCCATCTGTTATCTGGTAACACGAAATCAACCTGGTATCTGAGTCCAGTACAAGACAGGCTTGCTGCCATGTCGCAGTCTAATCAGCCAGCGATTTGAAATACATGCATTTGACGCAGCTTCCACCCAAAGCGTCTTTTATGTGTCACAAATCGTCCGTGCCACGAGAAATCACGCGGATCTTTACTATTTAGTCAAGGCAATGCTGGATCAGGTGAGATCACGTGACTAAGCAAACTACACGTCATTGGAACATATCAATGCTTTTTTCACCCATTCCTGTCCCGTTACGGATATCTCACGGTCCCATTGAAAAAGATGAAACCAATGTCCATTTGCAATGTTCAAATCACGTCTTATCATATCACCTTTACAACACCCGCCCGTATGCTTCCAGCTATATCGTGCAGAGCACATAACCCATGACCTCGGTTGTGCCGTCTGTGGGGCGGCGAAGCCGTCTACAGCAGCGGGTCACCTGTTGTGATCTTCATCAACGCTTGCGACTTTAATACAGAAACCGTCTACAGCAGCGGGTCACGTGTTGTCTTCTTCATCAACGCGTGCGATTTTAATACACAAGCTAAGACACATATCGAATGGCGTCTAGCTTCGACGACCTTCAGCGCCTTACAGACACAATAAGCCGGGAGGGATAGGTGCCACTACGCGAGCTGAGTAGACGCAAACGACCTTTTAGGAAATCCTGAGGCGAGGTTACTCCTTGCAATCTTCTGAGCCCGGCATTTCCCATGACCTATGACCGTGACCATGACCTAGAGCTAAGGTAGTCACGAACTTCAATGCGTATCAAGGTCGACGCCACCTGCCGCACTGACACGACACCACTCACCGTATTCGGACTCCTCAGGACGGAGGGGGTCCACGCAGCGCGCGAAGGCCGTGTAGTGACCGCCCAGTATACCGCCGTGGTGGTTGATGACGCCGTACAGGTCATAGACGGCGGGCCCGTCGTCCGGCTCCACCGTCAGGTACGGACTGAGATCCAGACCCCTGGCAAGACGCCGCTTATAAAGTGACAGAACTGAGCACGGACGACCATACCGACCAGGTGCACACTTCTGGGAGAGCGCCACATTATGGGCAGCTGGGCTACACGCGGGTGGTCATATGTTACTAAGTCACATGCTATTAGATGTGGACACAGTCCTGACTGTTGGCAAGGCACTGCACGATTGGTGAGAGGACTAAGCACAGACAGTCCCACCACGACTGGATACGGACTCAGGACACGTGCACTCCACTGATGTGTCACACACCCGCTAACAGAATTCAGACATTGCTGATGGTCACTGCGGCTGTGAAACGAACAGGCTCACCTCGTTGGGAAATGGACCATTTTGTCGATTTTGTCCCTGTAGATGAAGTCCTTGAACGAGAAGCGCTTGAGCTGCACTATGAGGTTGAGGGGTACGCGCCATAGACTCATCTGTTTCTCCGCTTCTCTGTGAGTCTTGCACCTGGATAACCGCGTTTGGTCATGCGTCAACAGACTAAAGGCCAACAAGCTGAGGCTGGCCAGAATATTTGGTAGCAGTGGCAATGCCAACATCAGTCTGAGCCGAAACACACCTGCAGGTGAGGCAGCAGCGCGGACTCACATCAGATGCGTGCCTGACGCTGGCTCGAGTTTCACAAGGATCTGAGTGTCAAATCTGATCCTCTGGACTAGAGAAGCAACTTTTCCACCCGCCAACTTGCCACTTTTGACCCGGCAAGACCCCACGGGCTTTCGTTCGGGTTGTGGGCCGGGCTTGGTGGACATGTATTGTTTTACAAGTACAATTCTAAACCAATCCAACGAAAATAGTGTCCTGCCATATGCGTAACAATGGTGAACAAATATTATCATTTTTTAACAAGAATGCTGGTGTCAGAAAACCCACAGCATGACTCGTTCACAGGTGTCACACCAGTAAACCAGGGTGCAGGAATTAAACCATTTTAGGCAAACGCCTCATCGAAAAAATCAACAATAACGACACAAATCCTCACACCCCGGCCTGATTTCACTGAGAATATAGCCAGTTAGGTCATTTATATAGGCACAGAAACATTCTGTTATTGTGAGGATGGGCCCCATATAAAATATTATCTAATTCGTACACAACATAAGTCAGAACCACAATCAGCGATTAATAAAATGGTCAACAACCTGTGTTACTTGTATCACCATAGCCCCTTTCACTGGTTAATGCAGCTCGCAGGTACATTAGTGGCCGAAATCTGAATGTTGGTAAGGTAAAGTGGTTTATCTTAACCTGTTTGTTCATACCTACAAGAACATCAACTATACGGCCACGACAGGGGGTTCTTACGTACGATATGTTTCACCCTCACTACGAGTGTGATTCATTTTCAACATAAATGTCTCATAAAATTTTGTTCTGTTTTGCTTCCGTTATCTCTTCTATATCTGCTTATGTACTCAACACCAATGAAGGATCTGATTTTCTTTCTTAAAATTAGGTCAAAACAGTGAAGTTAATGACGCATTTGAATGATGTGAGATAAGCGTATGTTATTTGTGCTCGTGTACAGTGTAAGTGCTCGTAGAGCATTTGTGTTATTTTGTGCTTGTGTAGCTGCGGAGAACTCCTACAATTCTTTACATCTACTTTTTGTCAGTGCAAAACCATCAGCTGATGCACGTAATTTTAGGAGACCTATCTGTTTTGTTTAGTAAAATCATGCGCAAGAGTGAGATGGCTGATACATTTTGGTATGGAGCCATCCCAAATTCTACCATCTTCGTTCCCACTTGTAGTAGGAAACGGACTTTATGTGCTTTTGAGGTTACTTATCTGATAATATGGAAATTCCACAGCCCACGTGCTTTTACCGACACTCTCTAAGCAACACCACTGGTAACATCCCGAGTTCTGAGTAGGTAACGTAGTTCATCTATTTTGCCGGAAAATTATGACCGGAAGACCCTGCACGTCATTGCCAGAAGCAATGAACAACATGATTTACCCATTACGCAGGCAAAAAATGTTGTGCATTGGATGAAACTAATAATATTTGTCATGCACATTTCACATCCAGGCCTAAAATGAAAAAAACAACAAAATACTGATCGCGCTTAATGCTAGCGAGTTAAGGCCGGGTCAGCACTGCAGCTTAGTGAGCTTTTACAGGCCACGTCCCCAGCTGACCAGGGACGGGCCGAGCTGCGGACTGCTGCTCTTATAACCTGCATCGCTGGCTAGGGCTATCAGCCCCATCGCTGAGACGCGTCGTGACAGGAGGAAATGCGACACCGCTCTCACACAGCAGCAGACGGAGCCTGACCTGGGACAGTACCAGGCCTCGCCCGGCGACAGCTGCTCCGGCTCCGTGAAGAGCTGCAGACACTGGTCGAGCGTGAAGTCAGCGCCGGGCTCGCCGCCGAGCGACGGCCCCGGCTCCGGGGCCGCGTCCAGCTCCTTGTCCTCCACCAGACAGCAGGGCCGCGAGCGGTGGTGCGTCTTCCAGTCCATCGCCACCATGCAGTTGCCGTGCAGATCCAGCGGCTGGTCATCTGCGGGCGGAGATACGGTCAGGGGCCGTCCGGGGTGTGCGGGCCGCGGTGCCGGCAGCGGAGGAGCTCAGTTTCCGCTCAGGGTATGGGCAGAGACGGCGACGAAGGAGCTGAGGTCCCGCTCAGGACACGGGCGGTGATGGAAGCGGAGGAGCTAAGGTCCTACTCAGGGCTCGGGCGGCAACGACAGCGGAGGAGCTGAGGTCCCGATCAGGACACGGGCGGTGACGTCAGCGGAGCTCAGGTCCCGCCCAGGACACGGATGGTGCCGGCAGCGCAGGAGCTGAGGTCCCGCTCAGGGCACGGGCGGTGCCGGCGGGCCCATGGCACAACCGTACAGCTCAGTCAGCCGATGACAAGACCTCGCGGTGGTATCGAACACGTCAGTCGGAGGGACTGCCGACTGACGAGGCCACTCAGGGGGAAATCGCACACTGAGCACAGACCGTGCACTGAGGAGTGCGCCGAGCAGCGGGGCTCGGCACACGCCGGGGCCACGGCCATGGGACGGGTCTGAGGCTCCTCACCGCAGTTCTGCAGCCGGGCGCCGTCCGCTGTGGTGATGCTCTGTCCCTGCTGGTTCACCGGCTTGATGAAGAACAGCTGCTTCTCCTCGCCCCCTGAGTTACAGAGCAGCGTTAGCCGCCGCTTACTCCAGCCCAAGACGCATGTCGTCATCCCAAGTACCAAGTACCACACAAATACCAAACAAGTGCCAAGTATGAAATGTATCCTGGAAAGATCCCAGCCGGAGTCGCTATCTGGTCACCTTATCCATAGACGCCATGTTCACCATCGCACAACGAGGCAGGATATGTTACATGTGCCGATGATCAGATCCGAATCGGGAATACGGCGTTTTGATTACTCTACCGTGACCGCCTACGACGCACCAACGCAGAATATTCACGAGCAGAGCCTTCCACAATTCAAACGCGAGTTGCTCAGTTACATCCTGCAGCGGCAGATCAATAACGGATAGCGGCGCCTATTTCAAATGACTTAAGCGAATGTGAGAGTGCGTTCCGCGTATGTGAGAGTGCGTTCCGCGCACGTGTGCCTGCGTGTGTACGTGTTTGCGCGAGCATCCCTGATCTATAGTGTTTCACTTCCATGACACGGGTTCCGTAATAGCCACGTTCTGAGTGGAGTGAGCTTATGACGTGTAATAAAAATAACAATAATCAAAAGTAACAAGAGCAAGAGTACCACACACGGGGCACTCCGACGCGGTTCGGCGTCACAGGCATCTATCTGTGGCGTCGCGGCGAGTCCCGCCCTTCAACCCGGACAGTGTCGGCCCTCTCAGTGCTGCCGTGGCCGAGCGGTGCGACCGGGCTCACCTGTCGCCGGCGGCGGTCCGTGCCGGTCGGCCGAGTCGCCGGATGCCGCCTCCTCCTCAGCCGGCACCTCCTCCGTGTCCGTGCACTGGCGACAGCGCGTGGCATATCACGCCACCAAACAGCACAGTCGCTGACCCGCTCTAACGCGCGCCGCTGGCCAGCAGTGTCGCCCGGTGGCGGAACCGACAGTCACTGACTGCCAGCCGTGCCAAGCCCAGCACCAGGCGTATTCCAAACCGAGCAAAAGACGCTGTGACACAAAAACAGCGGCCGACAACACTGGCGGATAAGCTGGCTGTGCCGTGGCTGCTGTGAGATCACATGCAGGGAAGCAGACCACGATTCGTCTGGCACTCAAGTACGAAAACGCAAGCGGTCGAGACGGCACAAGTGAGCAAACTAAACATGATGTGGTGAAAGGGAGGTATTCATCAACTAGCATTATTTGGTATGGCATTCCCTCAAGCCGACTGCACGGAGAATGCGTAACTCTAGGCCGCTCGCACCCACGACTTTCCGCTTACTATCAGGCACGGACGCCTACAACCTGAGCTGACCCGTCCGCTGCATATCCTCGACGGCGTCAGCGTCACGACGCCCTCGCATTAGACCGGAACGGCACAGAGCCGCCGAAGTCTGGCCAATCCAGCCCCCGCTCCGCCCCCTTCGAGCCGGAGTAGAACGCCGACAGGGACGCGCGCACGGGGCGAGGGGTGCCGGGCGTGGCTGAGTGAGGGCCGGTACCGCCGGCAGGGACGCGCGCTCGGGGCAAGGACTGCTGGAGGTGGCTGGATGAAGGCCGGTACCGCTGGCGGGAACGCGTGCTCGGGGCAAGGACTGCTGGACGTGGCTGGATGAAGGCCGGTACCGCCGGCAGGAACGCGCGCTCGGAGCAAGGACTGCTGGACATGGCTGGATGAAGGCCGGTGCCGCCGACAGGGACGCGCGCTCGGGGCAAGGACTGCTGGACGTGGCTGGATGAGGGACGGTACCGCCGGTAGGGACAAGCACTCGGGGTGAGGAGTGCCGGGCGTGGCCGGGTGAGGGCCGGTGCCGCCGGTAGGGACGCGCGCTCGGGGCGAGGAGTGCCGGGCGTGGCCGGGTGAGGGCCGGTGCCGCCGGTAGGGACGCGCGCTCGGGGCGAGGAGTGCCGGGCGTGGCCGGGTGAGGGCCGGTGCCGCCGGTAGGGACGCGCGCTCGGGGCGAGGAATGCCGAGCGTGGCCGGGTGAGGGCCGGTTGGCCGCTGACCTTGCCGCTGTCGGAGCTGGTGTTGGAGCTCAGAGAGTCGCGCCGCTCGCCCGACGAGCTCACCGGAACGCAGAACACGTTCACCGAGTGCCTGCCATCGGGGGAGAACCGCGGTGTGAGAAACTGCGGTTGAGCTGAACCAGCGGCCCGTCATAGGGGACACTGCGCGTGTGAGCGACGCTGAGACACTGCGGCTTTGGGCTGAACACGTGGTCTGTCATCGAGGGGACCGGCGTGAGACAACACTGCGGCTGGGCTGAACCAGCGGACGAGTGCGCCAAATGTCTCCACGACGAACTGGACACTGACAATAACCATCTGCATTCCATCAACTTCATGGTGCTGTGGGGAGCCCCCCTAATCAAACGCAAGGCTCACCGCTGATGAAAGCCTGGACCCCCGGCGAGGCGTGTGATTGAGACCCCCGCGCGCTGCACCGTTCACCGACAGGACGCGTACCCCCCTGGAGAAGGCCTGCATGTGGTGCGACAGACGCGCGTAGGTGGCCGCCGAGCGCGCAGGCGACCAGGAACGACAGCAGACGGGCTCCCGGCGCCAGTCCGCGTGCATCAGCTCCCTGTGGATGGGTCAGTGGTCGCGCTGGCACGCTCGTCACAGTAGCCGCGTGCGCATGCAGGCGTGGCATCGTGCTGCAGCAGCTTCTCGGCCGCGTCCGGCTCCTTGCGGCAGCTGGAGCAGACGCGGGCCGGGCTGGGGCACAGCAGCCGCTGCCGGGAGAGCCGCCGGCGTCACGCAACGAGCGGGCGGCAGGAGACAGGCGACACCGCAGCAGCCGCTGCACGGAGGACACGGCACGTTACGGTGCCTGCTGCCGCAGGCTACATCACACCCAGAGCGGGCGCGGACCGGGCCGCCGAGAAAGCATCATACGTTTTGGTAGATCCTTGCACAGTCACACTGGTGCCAATGACCCGCACAGTGCATGACTGCACAAGACTTAGGCCATGTGAGGTCGTTCCAAGCACAGTAATGCTCAGTGAGTACTATATTTGTCCGAGCGTCCCAATGTAAGAGGAAGGGCGACGCGCTGGCTGCAAAACACATGCCATTACTGCGTGTTACGTCCACTACCATGGCTTCATCACAATTTAGGCGCTTGGTCCTCACTGAAACACGAAGCCGCCCAACCCAGCATGGCGTCTCAAAACTTACAAAACGCACCACAAGTTTCACGACGACAAAGACCGTTCAGCAAGCTGTGCATCAGCATCCTGCCCTGTTGCACAGCGGTACACGACACGCAGACTGCTCAGCATAACTTGCACGCAGCGGCAGCCGGCGTACCGAGCCAGCGGCGTACCTGGATGACGTCACTGGCCCAGCCTAACCCGTACCTGGATGACGAGCAGCTCGACGACAGGCTCTCCCACGTCGGCCGGGTCGAGCTGCTGGAAGGCTAGCATGTGCGATGTGCGGCTGATGGAGCTGATGCCGGCGCCGCGCGAGTACACCTTGAGCACCTGCCGCCGGGGGAGGGGGGGGGGGGGGGGGGCGTCACGGGCCAGCAGACACCGCCGGGGCATCGGCGTTGGTGGCAGGAGACCGGCCCGCCCGCGGCTGGACGCTGCGTGCGCTCGGGCATGGCGGCGATGCAGCCGCACCGGGACCGGGACACAAGAGAAGGCGCGTGATACCGCAGAGTACTGCCGGCCGGCCAAGGCGGGCCCAGTTAGGCTCAGACAGGGCAGGCAGCGCGGGTCCGTCGCACCCTCGAAATGAACGTCGGACCGCTATGACGCCCGCAGCCGCAAGGGGATCGATGCCGCAGTCTATCACGCCATCCTCTGGGGCTGGGCCCTCGGCCTGCGGTGACCGGACGGGGGCCCCTCATCCATCACAAAGACCGCGGGCCACGGATCGAGCCCGGCGCTCCAGACGGTCACGACACCCGGCCTACGCTACTATATCATCGACTCTCTGCAGGCGACGGGCAGCTGCACCGCTCTTTCCTGGCCGGGGCAGCAGCCCGCACTCGCAGTACGCGGTGGCGGCGCCCGACACACACCTTGTGTCTGCGCTCCTCGATCAGCTTGATGAACTTGGACGACACGCCCGCCTTCTCCGAGAGCTTCTCCATGATCTCGTCCGCCTGGCCATCAGCCGTGACGTACAGGTTGTACTGGAACAGGCCGACACATTTATCAGTCGGGTACAAGAAACAACCACCGGTTGAAGAAGACACATGGGACGCCATGCTGAACTGAGATGGTCTGCCCCGCAGCGTCACCTGTCCATTCGTCCCAGGCCTGGTCTCGAGGCAGCTGCCGAGCCCTACAAACGGCAGCCGGCAGACTGATAATACTAATCGGGGCTTTGGGCTGTGCCGACACCTACGCTCGTTCAGGGTGCAGCGTGCAGAGTTAGACGGCGGAGTGAATCGGCCGTAAGCGACCGCGACCTCTGGCCGCCACTGACCGCCACCTCTGGCCGCCACTGACCGCCACCTCTGGCCGCCACTGACTGTGACCTCTGGCCGCCACTGACCGCGACCTCTGGCCGCCACTGACTGCGACCTCTGACCCCACTGACCGCGACCTCTGGCCGCCACCGAACGTCACCTCTGGCCACCACTGACCGCGACCTCTGGCCGCCACTGACCACGACCTCTGGCCGCCACTGACCGTGACTGGCCGGACGGTGGGGTCGGCGCGGAAGAAGGTCACCGCCACCGGCCGCTTCTTCTTCGGCAGCGGGATGGAGAGGTACAAGAACGGGTCGAACGTCACGGACACCTGAAACGGGATCCCGAGCGTTAGCTGGCGAATAGTTTAGGCCCGCGTCACGAGGTGGCGCGTCGGTCGACAGCGGCCGCGACACATAACACGCCAAGCGCCCAGTCCCCAATGGTCCCGAATCTCACTGCAAACAATGTCAGTCACTTACAGTCTGGTGGTAATTCAATCCTACTGACGACCAGCCGCCAGCGGAGGCACGTCCCATTACGCAAGATAAGGGCGGCCATTCGCCGGCTGGCGGTGATGCACTTGATCAGGCGTGGCACGGCTCCGGCAACACGATCGGGGTCGGGGTGATCAGAGGCGCGCAGAGGCGGAGCGACCCAGACTATCACCCTGGTGGTCGATGGGGCTCGGAACATACACCGAGCGCCCGCTCATTGGACGCCGTCCGCATTGCCGTACAGCTGTGGTCCTTGATGCGCTACCGAACCCATAGAGGACCAGCCCGGCCTGGCGGCGGCCGCGGCCCCCGAGCACGCCGCACCTTGCCGCAGTCCGGGCAGACCAGCTTCGACTTGTACTGTCCCTGGAAGAGGTCCACGATGGCCGAGTCGTCGCGCAGCCGGTAGCGGTGCCAGGACTCGCGCGCCACCTCGGCGTCCGGCCGGTCGCCGGCCTCCTCCGTCTGCGTGTACGGCTTCACCCGCACTCGGTTCAGATCCTGCCGAGCGACCGGCGTCTCCGGTCAGCCGTGTGTGCCTCTCAACACAAGCCAAAACCACACCAGTCCACTGTCTCGCGCTTACCTGTCAAGTCACAACAGCGTGAGTCAATCAGCGCAGCGCCAAGGTTCGCATGCGCTTCAGTCTAAACATCCAAGGGTTATTCTGGGTGTTGTTGATGAACGTCCAGCGGCTGGCGTTGTCACCTCGTGCAGGCCGTCGAGCAGGAAGGCCATGAACTCCTGCGCGTCGTGCTGCGCGAAGCCGGTGAACTGCGTCGCCTTCTTGGCGACCAGTGACTTGAGCTGGTGCGGATTGTGCGAGCGGTGCTGGCCGGACCAGAGCACGCGCAGCAGCACGGCGAAAGACAGCGCCAGCTGCCCGCTCATGCCCAGCGGGTTGTCCCGGTTGATGTCCGACTGGAACACGGATTCTGCCGGACGGCGGTGTCAGGACTGGAGTCTCATCACAATGTCTGGCGGGTGGCGGTGTCAAGAATGGAGCCCAGTCACAGTGCCTGCCAGAGGACTTGAGTCCAGTCACAGCCGGCGTGCTCCGAGTGTATGTGTAGCCTCGACTGGGCGTGGCCGGTGATCTGACGTATGACTAGACGGCTCACAAACACTCCAGGGAATTCTCTCGCCTCGAAACTTAGTCAGCCCAAGCCCAGAACGGTCTGGGTCACAGACGACTATCACACTTACCAGACTGTGTCGCTTTATGACACAAACAGCCCCATGGGGTCCTGATCACTGGGGATCATCACTCCAGCAAGCTGCTAAAAAAGCACGCTAGTACTGTCAAGGTTATCACATACCGCCCGCATCGAAAGCAAGCTATGAAAATGCAGGGATAGCTAAGTCGGTTAGGAAACAAAAGGCCGCGGACGGAGCCAAACGCCGGCCGTGCCCCGGTTCTGACCTGCGAAGTAGTCCCTGAGCTCGCGGGTATTGGCCAGGCATTGGATGACCGAATTGAGGAAGCAGGTGTTGCCGATGTTGTCGAGCCCGGTCATGCCCAGCTCGAGGGGGGCCGCTGGCGGCGGCGGCGGCGGTGGCGGCAGAGCCAGCGGCAGCGGCAGCGGTGACGGAGCGCGAGCCGGCTGGCAGCGTGACACATGCGTCAGGTGGCAGCGCGGGTCGCCGCTCGCGCCACACCGCACACGCAGCCAACACACGGCTGAGAGGCGGCGCTGCGAACGGCAATAATATACAGGCTACCACTTTGTACGCAGCGCATTGGGGATCATCACTCCAGCAAGCTGCTACAAAAAGCATGCTAGTACTGCCAAGGTTCTCACATGCGGCTGTTCCTCAACATTATCGCGTCGACACCCCGACCGAGGAGTAGCCAATCACGGGCCAACGAGACAGGCGTGGCCGATCGGCGGGCCGGCAGTGGTACCCCACCTTGACGCGGGTGTCGGGCTGGTCGCCTCCGGCGGCGGGGTCGGACGGCGGCGGCGAGCAGCCGGCGCCGGCCGCACCAGCCGCCGTCTCGCTGCGGCGGAGGGCGTTCCACCTGCCGGGCGCGGCCTTGGCCAGCCGGAGCTCGAGCGCCGAGCCGGTGACCGAGTGGCCGCACTGATCAGGCCGCACGGAGCCGTTCAGCGCCACCGTCCAGCGGAACAGGAAGCACTCGTCTAGTCCGCCGCGCGCCGCCAGGAACCGGGCGTCGCTGCCGGGTCACAGCGCCGGCGGTCACGGATCGCGGTCATCTGAGCCGGCCCGGCACAGCAGCACCCGGCTGGGGCAGCTGCACTGGCAGACCGGCACGGGTCTGCTCGGGGGTGACCACCGGCACGTGTCCAGCCCGGCACGTTCTCCGTGAACAACAACTCACCTTGCTCTTGTTCAGAGCTCACAGGTACTTGCACAGGTCTAATGAACATTAACAGACACTACCGTGCCAGTTCAGGTCATGTTATACATGTAGGCAGCCTGCTGTCAGTCTAGTTCTGGAAAGTTCAGTTGGGGAAATCTGTCCTGGGAACGTAAGTGCACAAAATGCAAAACGGCACACCCAGAACGGTGGACTGGTTTAGGCATATCCCCGCCACATGGCTTGCAGGGTGAAAGAACAAGCCGGCTGCTGCTTCATTATATCATTTGATTATTTTTGCTGGACCTGGCTTAGAACATTTCATCAGTCTTTACCATTCTGACAGCATACTGAAGCCAGGATGTCATTCACGGATTCAGAGACGTCCAGGCTCGCACCCCGGACACGTTTACAGGGAAGCAGCTGACGGGCAATGGTTACCTTAGTGGATGGCAGCGCAGCCATTTCTGTTGGTGATTCGCACATTGCGGCCGATAGCACGCAGCTTTTAGCGACTCTGTCTACAAAGCAGCCATGAGCCTGTGGCAGGCCTAAGCTGTTTAACCGCATGCCAGTCCGAGCACCGGACAGCCTGCCTACGTGCGTTAGGAGGGCCGCAGCAGGCTCAATTATTGCAGCACTGGATAGGATACCACGCTGCATTACAGACCAGCGGTTTTTTAAGCCTGTTCATCATTTCGCTCCCAATCTTCTGTATCCACCTATTGCAGGGCCGTTCAGTAGTTGAGCTTGTTTGAGAAAGCACTGTGTTTCTACCCTCGCGTTCGCTTGGTCACTTTCGGCAAGCCAGCAGCCTACCTCTCTGGTTTGTAAGGTCCAACTGCAAAACACCATCACCTTGTTTTTTATTTTTGCAATTCCATGGGATTTGTTATACAACAGAGCATGAGAGGGTGGGAAATATAGTTTGCTGTATGCTTGTGCAGCCCATTTTAAGTAATAGAGCCCACAATAATCAGTGAGTGTGAAGAGGGTATGGAGGGGGGGGGGGGGGGGGGGCAGCATTGGTTCTCAACAGGATAAAGATCCCTGATGTGTCAAATTAAGCATAATTGAGTGGACAATTTTAACTGACAATGTTGAGCTGCACATTAGCATAGTATAGCACAATGCCATAGATACTTAGCTTATATTGATCTGAGTGCAAATAACATTACTTTGGAGTACAGCCATTCTTTTAGTTGCAAGCCCAAGTCAAAATAAAATGGTGCTATCTTCACCATGCACTGGCAGTAACTGCCACAATACTCAGCAACTCAGATGGTGTGTATATCAATATTTTTCTGTCTCATTGCACCCCCACTAAGCTTTATCTTTTGCTGCTCCTTCCCTCACTCAAGTTCGGCCAATCAACATCAAACTAGATGGTGGTGGTCAATGATAATGGAAGCTGGAACATGGTAGTCAACCCAGCATTGAGGTACTTCAGGCTTGGCAAGTGGACTGGCAGGTCCGATGCCAGGATTGGTGGTCAAATGACTATGGATAAACAGCTGCCAAAACATGCAGGGGGAGGCTGTTGTAGACCTGGAAGTCTAGTGGCAGAATTAATATCTATAGCCCGCACATCACACTGGATCCATTCTGGAGTGCCACAGAACCTGTTTTTCGCACACACTCATTATTCCTTCACTGAATGTGCCATGAGGGAATAATGATTCTGATTGCCAGGGGCCAATACAGCATCTGCCTGGCATCTGCACATAAAAGAACCACTGCAAACACAGAGTGTATTGTTCTGCCATCTGCTGGAAGGGTCGCAATGCTCTGCACTCTGATAAGCCTCCTCCCAGCCAAAAAGTGACTCATCATGACTAGGTAGCATGAAACCATATTACATGCATAGCCATAATACAAAATGAGTTACAAAGCTGCATGACTTGTACATAGCATGACCCTCTTTGACACAAATTGTACACTCCAGATCAAAAGTCCACCACATCAGCTTATCATGTTACCTATACAGTGTCAGAGAATGGTACAGTCACTTCAGTTGAAGGTGAAAATACAAAGGAAGCCATGATTTGTGGTTAACTCACATCTCACAGATGATCACATACATGCCTACAAATCATTTGTGCACCTGACCACTAAAGCCAGGGTACTGAGACAACACTGTGTCAATCACTTGCCAATTTCACCACTGCTTCACAGAAATGCAGCATGAAAAGAGTACACTTCAACAGGTATCATGGTCTGCCAGTGTTGGCATACATAGATTCAATGTAATCAACTGCTGCATTTTGTTTCTTCATCCTTTTGAAGTTCAGCACCATCACCACTACTCTCTGCATCACTGTCAGTCTCACTGCTGCTGCCATCAGAAGTACTGTCATCACTGTCATCATCACTGCTATCATCACTATCAAGAGTGAGACCATGCAAAGTGTCTGTGATGTCTTTGCCAGACATCTGCCCTTCCTGCAGGACCATGTTGGCCGCAGCTTCAAGCTCATCCAGATCAAGGTTGACATCACACTTGTCCAGACTGAGGCTTTTCAAAGCATCACTAAGGCCAGCAATGACAGCCTCATCAACATGCTGAATCCAGACACACATGTCATCCACATATAGCTGATTCAGGATGTAGCGTGGATCACTTTCCAACAGCATGCGTCGTACATCCAGCAAGGCCTTCAGCAGGTGTTTCCTACCTCTCGAGAACAGCCACCTTGTGTCATCCAATACCAAGGATGACAGCCTCCAATTTCTGAACAGTGGGTAGCAGAGACTTCTTCTCATGCAAGTGACCACTGTATCTTTCAAATTGGAATGCCTTTCAAGCCAGGAGAGGCTCGAGCTCAGCTTGGCAATGCACCAGCCGGACTCCACACTGCTTTCCCCACCAGTGGCTCTCTTATCATAGCAATATGCAAACAGGACATCCACCAGAGTCAGGCCAGCCTCTCGCAGGTCACATGCATTCATGGTAAATGACTGTGGCTTGAGTTTTATCATGTCATCCTTCTGCTCTTGTGTCAGACCGTCAGTTCCAAGCACTTCTGCAGGTGTAAGCTGAATCAAATGACCCATAGTCTCTTCTTCCTCCATAGTATCTGCTAGATAATGATCATCATTGAAGTCATTACTTTCCTGAGACTTTCTCTCGGATGACCTTTCCAATGCACTTTTACTGTCTGGATCTTGAACATCAATGACTTCACCTAGCTCAGACTGAAGCCTGGTAAAGACACCAATATGCTGATTTGCAAACCCATACCTGGATCCAATGCACACTTCATCATTAGATGGCATCTCCTGAGTGACAAACCAGTCAATCTCAGACCCTACATCATCATGGCTCTCAAAGCCAGCTTCATCACCCAGTTCTTCAATAGTTTTGCTGACATTCCTGACACCTCCTGGAGTAAGCAATGCTGTGAGCATGTCCAGGTTCTTAAATGTCTCTCCTCTGGTCACTTTGGGAGCATGGACAATGAATCCCTTCTTGTCAGGATCAAACTTGGCTGATGCTTTGTCATTTTCAACAATGCATCCAGAAAAATGCAATCGTAGGTAATATGGAGCGGAATGGAAGGTAAACAAATTCCCCTCCATGAAGACCTCCGTCTCCTTGACGTGCGCAAAAGGCGCTTCTACTTCAATAACAACATGCTCATCGTCTTGAGTGATGGAAAACCGAGGTGTCAGCATCGTAACACCATAGGTGTGTTTCGCAACTAGATGACAATGCCGCGCGGAGCACCCGAGTACTCAACACAGTACACCACACCACCACGCCGCCCAGCCTTTCCTCCAAGCACCCCAGCCGGAACAATGGAACGCCTTCAGCGGCGCCAGTGCTGTCTCACTGAAGCCCACACCACGCGTCACTTCTGCGCAGTAGATGTCGCAATTAATGTTAAGAACGGGCCGGCAAATTAGAAAGGTCGCTCATATCACCCCCCAAGGTACTCCAATCACCCTCTGGGGCTTTTAACCGTAAACGGCTGCGGCGTGACCAGCGCCTGAAATTTGGGTATTCTCCACGAACATAAATAGGACAATATAAACAAACTCGTTACACGTGCACATGTCAATGATGGAAATGAGCCCGTCCCAAAATCTCGGCAACGCCGCGTGCCAAACCCACGACAACTAAACGAGGGATGCCGCTTGCGGATTCTAGCCGGATCTATTCAATGATGATGATAAATCATATTAAACTGTTCCTTTCAATGTAATCGGTGCCCCGGTCCGTTGTTGTTGACCAGCATACGTTTAACCCATATACAGTCTACCGACGACACTTCCGCGCTCGGACGCCCAACTCCGAGCGTCGCGCTCAAAACAACCGTCTCCCTGGCGGGGCTGATAGCCGGAGAAAAGAGAGAACGGAGCATAGCGTCGAGAACTAGCTCATCACGCGATGATTCAGCTTTCTGGATTGCACGCTAAAACTGATGCGAAAATACGTGACGCCGCACTAACATATCACGTCAAACACCATCCTAAATACACCCAAGCACAATCCACACAAATGAGCTTACCTCATGACATATGATGCGTACATCTTTATCTTCAACATAGGACATTCCATTTAAAGGGATGCTCCAAATTTGAACACATGGAGGCAAGCATCACACCTGATGAAGTAAGTTCACTTATAACTATCGGCATACTTTTACGTGGAAAAGCTCATCTAGAAAACAAAATTTATCTGTTTGGTAAATATGCCACTCAACACACCGTTGTTTTCATTACGTTATCGTGCCTTGCGAAGCAATAATTGAAAGCCAAGTGACAGCCGTTACATCTGGAAACCATGCCCACAAGCGCCAGATATGAACGAATTAACCACTATATGTTTCTTGGTCTTGATCGCCGCATGACCAATGGGATGGATAAATTTAAATGGCATTATTACTGAGTCATGGATGCCTGGGTGACCCTGCAATAGTCTCCCCGAAAAAGTCTGCACATATTCGCGGGCGTGTAGCTCACAACCTAGAAGGGTTTAGTTCTTCAGAACGACAGGGCTGTGAACTGCACCGAATGATCTTCAAGATGGCAATTTCAGTTCAAAACCTCATACTACTGAAAACGAGCCCTTTGAAAATGCACCGTAATCGACTACGTGAATGCAAGCAAAAAATACAATATCGCTGACAAGCATACAAAAAACGAAAGAAGGGCGTCAACACAAGCACATAACGACATTAGGGTTTTGTAAGCGCACCTCGATTAACACGCTACCTTACCGAAAGTTACAGCATTACAAGTCAGCCCATCCGCTACGGTAGTAAGCCCAAACAGCTAGTCTGGCAGCGACTTTGACGGTGACCAAACGTTACATTACGTTTCCAACGATGACGTATTGAGGAGCACATTTACTTTAATAGTGAAATGTTCTGTCTAGAGTTGTCTTTCGCATTTGCATGCCATCAGTTCAAAGTGAGCTTATTTCATCAATGATTCCTGCCTCAATACCTTCTTATGCATCTTCAACCTTCGATAGATAAAACATTCACCTCCGCGAGACAGAAGTCACATACTTCAGTTAAAAACGTCAATAAAGAAAAAGTAGATTGGGAACAAGGAGAGTACCTTAACCCCCCCCCCCCCCCGCCCCCCGTCCTGGACAAACTCCTGCACCCCTGATTGGGATCGCTGCTGGCGCCAGGGGGAGGGGCAGGCCCAGGGGCGTCACCAGTGGAAGAAAGACCGTCATCAGTGCGGGAGAGGGCGTCACCAGTGCAGGAGAGGGCGTCATCAGTGGGGGAGGGGCGCCATCAGTGGGGGAAGGAGCATTTTCAGTGGCGGAAGGGCGTCATCAGTGGGGAAAGACCATCAGTGGGGGAGGGAGAGTCAGTCATCAGTGAGGATGGAGCGTGATCAGCGGGGAGGGGAGGTCTCAGCCGGAGAGGGTGCGTCACCAATGGAGGAGGGGCGAAAGGGCTTGTGCGTTATGATACGTCAGCGCATGCCTAGTGTGACCTCTCTCCTCCATTAGTTATCTTGTCGGCAATAATAAGTGAAAATTGTTGACGTGCCAACCGCAGACTGAAGCAATATTAACTTTCTTTAGTTACAAAAGTTGCGCTGCTTGCCACATTCTGTGGCTATGTCACGTCACGCAATCAACATTCATGAAAACACACACACAAGATGCACAAAGAAAACGAAGCAACGGAAATGAAATTATTCAACTGTCAACTGTTGAAAGCAAGGCAAACAATTTATAACTCTCACTATTTTGGCCGTTTCCATCAAAGATAGAGTCCATCAGACCACCCAAACATCCAGACACTGTGACCACTCCAACAATACCCGCATTGCCCACAAAGTACTTGAGACGGACAAGTCCTCATTCAATCATTGAAAGACTCAGCAATGGCGTAGGAACAAGCAGATCAGACGTTTTACAACTGAGTCAGGGCAAGCCATGCAGTTCTAATCCCGAGGGAAAATCAAGTCAGTGCACAATACCTGGTGCCGAAGACGACGCTGAAGCAGTCCGGTTCGTACGTGACGGATATCGTTTCGTTCTTGATTTGCTTCACATAGATGGAGACGCGCACCTCCGAGTCCGTCTCGAACATGCTGTACTTGAGATTGTCCAGCAGCACCGGCTCGACGGAGGGCGTTGGCGGGAGCTCCAGGCCGGGTCCTGGGCCGCCGTTCACCGTCGCACTCGCGTCCGACTCAGCGGCCCCCGTCCCAAGCACCTTTTCAACGTTACTCATGTCTTTCATCTGCTTAGTGGTCGGCAGCGTCTTGACTCGAGGTATCTTGATGGGCTGCGAAAAATATGCAGGGCTCAAAGCCGGTACCAGTGATTCGTTGGAAAGCCTATTCGTATCATCTAAGGACACTTGAGCCAACTGCGAGATTTATACACCTTTCACATGACAAATTGCCTTAGTCACCTCCATAATACATGCTTTATCGCCACTGGCGGCAGACGGGTTTTGGTGCGACACCTACAATAGCGATGGTACGACTCGGACCGGGACTAGGGGAACCTATACCGCATTCACTTATGCCGCTTCGCGCAGTTCACTGTGGTTGACGCGGCCGGCCAGACGCTTGCACATTCTGTACGTATGTTAAAAGCAGTTCCCGGCGAGACAACTAACCCCGCTCATGACAACCACAAAAGCGCTCGAGGGGTCAGCCTGAGACGCCCAGTGCACCCACCTCCAGGCAGCCCCACTTGACCTTGGGGTCGAGCTTGAGCAGGCGCAGCAGCACCTTGCCGCCCTTGTACTGGAAGTCGGAGCCGTCTGGCAGCACAGTGGCGAAGAGCCGGCTGCTCCAGCGGCGGCCGTCCGGCAGCGTCACCTGCACGCGCTGCTCGCTGCAGGTGAAGCGCACGCGACCAGCGCCTCCGACCAGCGGGCCCGTGAAGAGCGTGACGCGCACCTCGCTGTCGCCGTCCCGCCACTCGTGCGTCACCGCCTCTGTCAGGAACAGCGCCGCCGGTCAACGGCGTCCGGCATGACGGCAACGCATACGTCAGTGTTGGCGAGAGTGACACATGCAGAAGGGACGGAGACGGCCGGGCACAGTCTGTCGGATGATGACGAATGTAGAAACGGAAGACGATCGAGCAGCCACAATCCCGCCGAAGACAGCCAGCGCTGCAGCTAACAGTCATCCTGGACACAGGGGAGCTGCCGGCAGCAGTCAGCAGCGGACACAGCCATCCATCTTCCAGCTGTTGGTCAGTACTCAACAACAACTCACGAAAAAGTTTAACTGAAAGACACGGCAGAACTTTCCCAGCAGGAACAAACGCAGGGCTCCGACGACTGCACTTCACACCTATCTTGCTTCTGTCGTCTTGCCGGCCGAGGGAAAACATGTTTTGGGAGACAAAAGCACTCATACAGCAAGGTGCGTGTGCTGGTAATCATACACGGCCTGTGAAATCGCTCACCTGGCACTGGGCAACCACGGCGACCGTCCTCACGATTCTACATTTGCCCTCCCAGGGGCCGAACATCAAGATGTCACGAGCACGGGACAATCACACTACCGGGCACAGGTCAGCTTCCAAGAATAACGTCACGTATTTCGATGGCTGCTCACCAATCCACTGCTGAAGTTAAATGAGCGATACACACCAAAGCGCCTGCAGCTATCAGGTGTGATGCACCACTGCGCCGTCGGCCACAGACATCGCACAGGTGCGCGTCTGCTCAATCCCGGGTCTGCTGTCGATCAGCTATGCTGCCGAGTGGGCCGTACTTTTGCTGGGAGATGCCGGAGCCTCTTCGCGAGAGTCGCCCCTCGGAGAGTCATCTTTGCCAGGGCTGTTGGTATTCTTCTTTTTCTTTGTTTTGGTTGCCACAGGCATTTTCTCCGCGAGATGTTGCACGTTCTGCGAAGTGAATACATAGCATATGTGCTTTGCAATGTGTCGAGTGTATACATCAACGACAACTCAGGCTTTCTTCCCTTGCACAAACAAGAAAAAAGGTGGATACAATACACCGCCATCTGGAACTAGACAATGTCACGTAACTAACAGCAGCCTTGTTACCAAATAGCAGCTTCTGACACATGAGGCCAAAGCTCAGAAAAATATGCCGAAACAACTAATAGCAAAATATAAAATGACAATGGCAAGAATCATCTACAAGTGCTTTCGCACTGAAGCATTTCCACAAGGGAGTAAAGTTTCGCAAAGTAAGTTGAGGGGGGAGGGACTGAACAGGAAAAAATAGCCAAACATTGCCCACAACAAGGTAGCAAAGGTTTTTTCAAGTATTTTGATCACTTCCTTCTCAAAACTGGGAATGGAGTACCCCACTGAATATGAAGCCGCGCCCCTGCTTCCACGACAAGATCACACACACTCCCACAGTCTAAGGCAGTGACGAGAAATCCTGAAGGTCAAAACATTGGAAATCTAATCATGATGAGCCTACGGAGTAAATGATTCACCAAGCATCATGCCTATAACACGTCACTTTTCGTACACTGAACTATTTCATTACCTCGCATCTCTGATTCAGCCGGCAAATACTGATGCTATGGTTTAGCATTCATGTTCGGTAATCGTTTGAGTTATACAACTTTGCAAACATCTAGCGAAGACTGACGGCTCTGGGCGCCTATACTTGCTCCGTACACTATCCACAACTTGGGGACGCCAACGCTGTGCCATTGGGCTTTACGACGCACTCAGCTGCTGAGACTACATGGCGTCCCTGCCTGTCACCATGGCGGGAAGGGAGGGAGGGGGGGGGGGGGCAGCGCAGATAATCGAATCCCGTGCCTCTGGCTCCCCAGACGCGCAGCTTAACCACTATACTATCGGTGCCCTTAGCCAACACCGCAAATTTGTGTTATTTGGCAGAAGTTCCATCAATAGACCATAAGAGAGGTATTACAACCATCGCATCATGATATGGTTTAAGATATCACGGAAGCATGTGAAAACCGTGACATGTCGCGATTTGTTTTACTTCCCACCAGCCCAAACTGTCCTTTCAACATCGCATGTCTGCCATCGCTGAAACCACGTACTACACAGGCCTATTTGCCAACGTAATTAGTTGATCATCAGTAACCTAATGCCCCATCTACGTAATGTCCCGAATACGTCACGAACTATAAGTGGCATCAGGATGTGGAACGTGGTCCCCTTCAAGCCGCGTCACTGCTTTGGACGATAGAGACTCATTGTTGCAAGATATGTTTTACTGACGCAGTTTTGAGGTCACTGGCTTTCCGCGCCCTTGATTGATCCAGCCGAGTCTAACAAGGGACTGAATTTGAATGACAAAAAAAAGAACTAGTAAGGACATCAATTTGTCAACCCTGATAGCCCAGTTGGTCAAAGCCCCCGTAATCCGATTTGCCAACTCATGGCGGCGTGGGTTTGAGTCTCTTCAGGCGCCCGCTATATGCCCTTGACTGGGTTGGCCTGCGACAGGTGGCAGCGGCCGAGCTGTTGGTCAAGTGATACCAGAGGGCAGGACGGACCGTGCTGAGCATAAAGGATGGCACGTCAAACTTTCGCCACAAAATTGTGCCGCTGACCTGGAATTTCATGATCAAATGTTGGAGTACGACCTCACGCAGCAAGCACTGACGTGGACTCAGGTCTAAAACATACGTTTGGTTAAGATGTCCGAAACAAATGCTTAAAAAAAAAACTGTGAGTGGACTAAACACCGCTGAAACGAGCACTCAGCCGATTCAGTCTTGCTTAATGCTGGTTATGTTGAACATGTTGGGCGCACGGACCCCATGGAACTTCATGTCTAGGCATTTTAACTTCCTAAACTCTTCTTCTGACAATAGCCGATCTCCAGCCTACCAGAAGGTCCTGGCTGGACGGCGGCATCGAGAAATCATTGGGATATATCATGAAAATACCCGACATTTCTAGCAGTGCTCATGGCTAAAAGCGATGCCAAGCTCGTGGTCTGGTCAGGTCCTCAGCAGTGCCCGTGATCGAGAACTCTAACAATATATCCTCGAGATTCCTTGATACTGTCGTTCGACCACTGCATCCTGTTGCATTATACGTCGTTTGTTGTTGAACATGGGCCTTGTGCCGAGGGCTCGATTTTAAAAGGAATGTTTCACGTTTGAGGATATTGAAGCGAGCACCATGCATGATGAAATAAGCTCAATTAAAACTGTTGGTGCACTCTTATATAGAAAAGACTGCTCCAGATAATACAATTTCTCTGTTCAGGAAAAATGCTATTCATTTTGTAATTGTCATGTCACCGCGCCTTGCACAACATTAATTGAAAGCCAACTGATTGCCGGGACGGCCAGAATACTTCCTTTAAAGGGAAGACCACACGCTTTGAAAGGAGTGTTCCACATTTATGTAGGGTTTTGAATGAAACAGCGATCTTGAAGCGCTTTCGGTGTCGCTCACATTCTTGCCCGTCTTGAAACCTGAGTCCCTCTAGTTTTTAAGCCATACTCCCGTGAAAATGAGGACAAGTATGTCGGGAGAATATTCCAAAGTCACCTTGGCAGTTATGACGGCAATGTAACGTCATTCAAATCTTGCCATTCCATAGGCCATGTGACGATCAAGGCCCAGAAAAATATAACTGTCGAGGCGTTCATATCTGGCGTTCGTGAGCGCGATTTCCAGATGTAACGGCCGTCATATGGCTCTCAACCAGTGTTGTGCAAAGCAAGATGACGCAATCAAACCATGATACATAGAGGAGCATCTTTACTAAACAGATAATTGTGCTGTCTACAGCAGTCTTTTCCACTCAAAATCACAACAATAGTTATAGGTGAGCCTGTTTTGTCAGATCTAAGGCTTGCTTTAATATCTTCAAATGCGAAACTTTCCTTTAAGTGAACATCATTCCGAAAACCCGGAGGCCACCGAATGAACCAAACGTTTTCTTACTCATAACAAACGTTTACATTCCTTGCAGAAAGTACTTGCTGACGCGAACCGGACGACAAAGCTCGTGCGCTTTGATCTGAGCAAGAACGGCATCCAGCTCCAGGGGATTCGCTTCGGTTACATGAAAACAGGTTCAGATCAGCTGATGATTGGTCCTCCGCTCCGAAGATATTCCGGAAAGTGCCGCAGAGCAAACGAAGACTACTGAATGAAACGACTGACTGTCCGTCGTGTTTCACTCAAATGCTCGCTTGGCACGGCATTGCTTTGAATTCGCGCACACAACAATAAATCGTTACTTCATACCAAAACTAAAAGTACGTGTGTCTTCATCACAATGGCTACTTTGTAAGCATGAATTAAGCAAACAGGCTAAGAAACAACAGCACGAGGCGAGTACCGATGACGAGGCACCGAACAATGGCAAGTCCCAGCGAAGGCCACCTAAACAGAATCTGGATCCACCAAGGATGCGCCTCCTGACAACAATCGGACACCAGCCGCACTCGAAGGCGGCAGCTATGGCGGAATGTGCGCTAATTGTGACGGGTGCCGTTGTCCATCTCGCATTTGTTTTGCCCGCCTGATGTACGTAAATCAGGCCTTGGTTACGCCCATATCGTCGTAACCAAACAATGACATCCAGACCCATGAACTTTGGGTCAGCCCAGGTCCAGCCTAGTTAGTTGAGCCATTTTTGTCTTCTACCCACAACAAAACGCGCGAAACCAAATTTGAGCCCCATGCGGTTCAACGTGCTATGACGCAAGCCATAGTGTCAATGGGCCAGGCTGGGACTGGACGCAGCTGTCCTACCAATGCCGACAACATCCAACATTTAACATTTAACCCTAGGAGCGCGGACTGAATAGTTAAGTCACGTTTGTGCCCTGTACCATCTCCACGGAAGCTCCTCCGCGCCTCACCCGACAATGAACTACCGCTCATGTTCATAGGCGCTTGGTATGTATGTCGGTACACTTACGTGCCTCGACTGACATGGAGCCATGCCATGAGTGCTTGACCATGACGCAATGGTCGCCTACGGTATTCCAGATCAACATTTGCCACTTATATGCCACTGATGCATGGCATGGGGCAAAACAAACTTCTCGAACGGATTGGCATTTTCAGCACCACGAAGTGATGCTGGTTGGAATCTGGTCGTGGAACTGCAAGGGTAATGGTATAATCCCTCTGGCCGTGGAACTGAAAGGGTAATGGTATAATCCCTATTTCTCGTGTTGCCGTAGCTGTGTATCTGTGCAGTGGGCAGCCTGAAAGTTGTAAGAAGGATACGCCTCGTCTTATGTTTGAACGGTACGAATTAATTTCGGGACATTCGGGACCATTATTTCACGACAATCGTTTTTGCGCTGGGCGCGTAGTGTTCTCGCAGTGTCCAACGCCGCACGGTTTTATAGAAACTGCAGCTCGGGCCATCACTGCCCATGCTTCCGAGATTTCGGGCGCGCAGGCTCAAACATTTTGATGTAAGTTGTTTCACGAATCAGTTCTGCAAAAGAGTGCACATTCTCAAGCAAACACGGGACGGTCTTGTTATTGTTTTGGCTAATTTGGACCAGCGTTATTCCACAGAAACGAGACCCATTATTTCTTTCTGGGAAAGGGGCCAATGAGTAGAACAATAGGGGCACAATATTGGTCCCGGTCAAGAGCTGGAGGCCCATTCCGTTCCACCGCGGGGTACTTTCTGACTGCCATTCTGGCGACACAGGGCGGGATCCCCTGGTCGACCCGGAGGCCGCTAAAGGGATATATCATATAACATTGGTCCCTTCCTGACCCGGGAGGCCTTCTGACCCGCGCATATGACCCCGGATCGACGCAGGAACCCTCGCCGATGCAACGGCAACCCTTATCGCCGCAGGGGTTCAAAAATTGGCGCATAACCTCCAGTTCGGCTCAAGTGGCCCATGCTGCACTTTGGTTGCGGGGCCCGGCATTCGGTACTGGCGCTCTGTCTGGCACAGTATCCTTCCATTGTCTCAATATGAGCATTAATCATAAGTTATAATATTTGCTTTCATTGTTAGAGGGCCCCGCCCAACGCAAGAAGTCTTCTGTCATTTTTTTGACGAGGGTGTGCGGCCGAAATATCAGTTACATGTTCATTGATGAAACCTAGCATTTTACTTGACAGTTTTGTGGCGTTCGCTGTTACTGAATCAGCGGTTAATGGCAATGCGGCAGGGAAAATGACATAATTAAAATAAAATAACCCGAACACATGTCATTATCTAAAAAGGTCGTACCGGAAAGCGTCTTTTTGGTTTCAGTATGTGGTCCACGGCCGCTGCAACAAGATCCGATCAATTTTTATTCAAAACTCAGAATAAAATCAGCCGCAGCTTTGAAACAAGAAAAAAGCAAAACGTAATTATTGACCTGCATAGCTTTAACCGGACACTCTGTTGCCGATTAAGCATTCGTGAAGTAATAAGTGAAGCCATTAGACCCAGCCTAACAGCCATTGGTTCCGCTTTTTCCGATCGTGCCGCCTACCCAACCCCTGCTCGCAGTCCCAGTCATTGTCACCCTACCACGCCGTTGAAATGCCTTTGAGTGTTTATATGATCAGGCTATG